CAACTTCTTCCCTGAACCATAGCAAAACCCACTTGGTTATTGCTATTTAATGTAGCTACCTTAGATACATTTTTAGTTACAGAGTATATTTTGGATACAGCATTAGTTTTGCCGCCATAGCAAAAGTATTTGCAACGACAGCAAAAGTTGTGTCTCCCACATATAAATAGTGTACAGCTACAACTAATTGCTACAATATATTTGGTATGATTGCTAACTAAAATATATACTGTAGCTAAACTTTGTGTATCAGGTAGCTAAATTTTATCAGCTAAATGAAATAGCTATCACAGCTAAGATGTTAGGTGTCCATATATTACGACTGCAATCTAGTTACCACACGCAGTTTTTAGCTATGGCAGCTACTTTTTTTTTCCGTGCAGTAAAAATGTTTACTCGATAGACTTGATAGACGCGTTATTGGACAATCTTCTTGAAGTATAAGTTTATCCCGTTGCCCGCTGCCGTCAAGGTCGATCGCGAATCCAGAACGCTCTTGTGCTCCTGGGTTTGCCAGATTTCGTAATTGTGTATAAGCAACGCTAAGACAACTTTAGCGTGTAGCTGACCCACCTTCATTCCTGCGAATTAATAGAGATCAAGTTAAAACATCCGCTATTGATTGATAATAACTGAAGTATTAAGTAACGATTATCAAATTTTTGTAGAAATGCTTTTTGTGATAGCGTCTTTTCAGTAAGCAGCAAACAAGTGAAATTCTTGAGTTGTGCAATAAGTAATTTCGGGGTTTTTCCAATAAATCTGTCTATTTTTTTTGCCAGGCAAAGCGAAGTTTGATTAACATGTAAATAAGATGTTCGTTTGCCGAAGTTGTGTAATTAAGATTTGTCTGCATCGATTTTCTCAGTGTAAAAAATGATATCATCTATTGCAAATTCGAAATTACTTATAAAACCCAAAAATTAAAGCTCAAGTATATTTAACTCTATTCAACTGCCTTCCAAAAAATTTCAAATGAAAGAAAAAAACCTTTGAAAGGAGCGCTATTCAACTGAAAAATTGAAATAAAAACAGTAGAGATAATTATAACTAATTAATGGAAGTTAAAATGTATGAAATTATTTTTTTCGAAAAAATATTTGTATAATCAAACGAAAATGTAGATATAATCTTTCCTTTTTACCATAAATATAAGGTAAAAAGTATACAGCGTGGTTCGCTAAAAACTTTAGAGAAGTTTTATGAAAGATTTTAATTTTTGCCTGCACCATTTTTTTTCTATCTTCAACAGAACAAGTGCTAGAACCCGACCGGGTTTCATGGACCACCCTGTATATTACGTTTCACCGATTATATCATCCGATTTATCGATTAGTTTGCAATATAAATCTATCTGCTTTTATATGCAGATAATAATTAATTCTGTCACGTTTTATCGATAATAATCAATTCTACAATGCTTTATCGATAATTAATTTTATCGGGCTTTATTGATTTCAATGGCGATACGATCTCTAGAGAATAAAATTCTGAATTTCTGTTCTAAATAAATTCGATATCAATTTCAATAAAGTCACGATAATTCGTCACAGTCTTTATCTTTCCTTACGTTTTTTCTTTTTTATATGCTACTTTTTTGTTATAATAATAAAAAAATTTTTTTGTGTATTTTTTACAAGAATTGTAGAACAGAATAAATTACTATTATAATGCAAATATACTACTTACCTACGCACATCCTGGGACCTAATCCGAACGGTAGGTAAGCGCTCGTGTCGCGGTTATTCTCAGCGAATCTGTCAGGGTTGAATACTTCCGGCGCATGCCAAAACTTTGGATCTTCACCGAGTCCATACAGAGAAATAAATACCGGTGTTCCTTTCTCGATAATGATTTCGGTGCCAGAAATCTGAAACACATTCACACCTTTTTCGATATTCTAATAAATTATTAGAGTGAACAAAAAGAGTTTATTTCTAAGTAGAGTAAACTTTAATGAAC